AAGTTCACATCTGACTAATTCCAGGCCATTTCAGAAGCTGCACTGCGTCTCTGAGCAGCGGGGCATGCCACATGCATCTCTGTCAGCGAATCCACACCCATGTTCCTTCCTTCCCCCCCCCCAGAAACTCCGCGAAATGTGGCAGAAAATATGGCGTTAGTCAGCGCAGAAACAGGAAGACTGAGCAGTTCCTAAATGGATTGCCTTCCACGTGGGAGGACAGCGGAAAGGCAGAGCGGAAAACGGCGAACAGGACAAGTGAGTGGCCAAAAACCTAAGGGCCAACTGGCTTTGGCCTTCAGCGGCAGCCGCTTACGCAACACGCTCCCCAGAGGAAGACAAAGCTGAACGGGTTCCGAACACCCCGAATGTATCCCAAATTAAGTCGTTATCCGGCGCTGAAATATATGCAAATTGTTTTCGGCTCATGTTAGACATAAACTCTTTTTATGGCCAAGTGACATGTAAATCCACCTAACCCCCTCCTCCCCTTTTTTGAATCCCCCCTTTTCCACAACCCCCTCTCTATTTGTCTGGCAAACACTTTCGTCTCCGTCTGGCAAAGAGAATTATTTCTCGGAGCCGAGTTTGTGGGCCGATGAAGGCGACGTGTTCACGTTTATGCACTCTCCGTGTATCCAGAATCAGATAAGCTGAACACACAGTTCAGGCCAACCCAGAGTTGGCTTTAAAACAACCTCTAAGCACTTTACTTCAGAGGCGGATCCACAGCGGTTTCTTTGGTTAAAGCTTCCACGAAACAGAAGGATTTATAACTTCGCTTTGAAAGATTTATAAAATATAAGCTAAAGTGTTTTATTCGCCAGAGAAATTATATTCTATTATATTAAAAAACAAAAATAAAACTGGTATAAATACATTTGAATTAAATTACTTTTTCAAAACTGCTAATGCATATTTGAGTAAAGCAATTTGAAAGATTTGAAATCTTAACGATTATAATCATAAGTCAGTAATCTAAAAGGTGGCTTCTTTAACTAAAAAGTTACTGGCTGTAACCCCTTCACGAATATGACGTAAGTGCGCCACTGATTTACTGCCATGCAATTTCCAGGGGAAAGGCGGAGATTTGCCGCCACACGTTGCAGAATAATTGCAGATCATAAATATGAGGCACGACGTCCTCGACATTATTTAGAGGCAGGCAGCGGGCTATAACTCTGCTCCCCTCCCTCCCCTCTTTATCCCTTTGTACCACTTGCCATTTATGGCCTGTTGATTTCGCAGAGTGCAGCTAACAGTTAATTAAGACATTCAAGCCCTGTTTCCCCATCCACAATCCACAATCCACCCACTTTTCCATCCGCGACTCATTCACGCCGTACTCCTCTCCGGATCATCGCGTGTCTGGAAAATTTGGAGTGGGAGGAAGAGTGCAGTTGGGCGGGAGAAAGACTTTCCATGTTCACGTAGCCCTGCCACTTTTCCTCCCCCTGAAAACCCCAATGGAATGGGGCTACAAGCTTCTAATTGAGCGGGCACTGGGCGCTTCTAATTATCGCGCGAGGCGAACAGTTTCCCATTTCCCACTTCGATCCTTTTCCGCCATTGTTCCCCTTTTCCAGGACCCTTCATCCTCATCTCGTTTGTTGTTTATGGCAAATGGCCTGCGACATTCGGGTGAAGGCGGCGAAAGGTTCAGCCGAAACATGAGTTAAGTTGTTTGCCGTCTGCGATAAGTTTAAAGTCGCTCCCGTTTCAATGGGGAGGTTTTCTGGTGGGGGTTGCGGTTGGGGATCGTACTCCCCATTTACCTATCCACCCCTCTACCTATCCACTCACACATACGTACAACCATCCATCCATCCGTGCATCCATCCTAACTTCATTACCCAGCACGAAGAAGGATGTGTGTGTGTGCAAATTTCCTGTTCTGCTTTTTACGGCGGCACGTAATCAAATTAAGCAATTACGGCCTGCCTCTCCATCCCCATCCCCATCCCTTGATTACGGGGCAACTTCAAGGGAAATTCACCAGCTGAAGGGAGAGGAGAAGGGAAGAGTGGTGGAGAAGTTTGGCACTGCAATCATAACGGTAAACGTTGGCCAGGCCAATGGAATTGGAACTCGAGACCACGAGAAATGCTTCCTGAGAACAAGTGGCAATCACTCGAACACCCACCCTGCAGCAGAAGGACATCGCAAATCCTGGCTAATCCAGGGAGATTGTTGGTACTTGGACATCGAAAGGGGAGAAAGATGTTCCACTAGAGTTGAGTAGAGTGGGTTGGTAACATTCTTCCCCTTTCCCCTCCAAAATTAGAATGATAATCGCTTGGTTTATGGCCAATTAATCAACTCCCCAAAGCCGCTTAACCAAGAAGGGGATACACTTTTCGTGGTCGCTATGCGTTCTCACAGCCGCTCCCTTTTAACGGCTCCTAAACAAATATCCAGGACATGACTTTGGCCACTTTCCAATTGGAAAAGCCTTCTGTAACCGATATATTTACGATTCTTGTGGTTCCTAAGGACACTGCGAAATGTTTCCATGTTGTCAATTAATTATATTGAACGGAGTGGGTAGTTCTGTATCCTGTGGCCTTGGCCTTGCTCATTCCGTAACCCCTCGGTGGCATTATCCTTTGTATCCTTTCGCCTAATCGCTCGGTCGTAAAGCTCCGAAGGAGAATGTCCCTAATTATAACTGACCACGCAGCAGTGCAATTCGCTTGCGTTTCTTTCCTTCTGTTTCTGTTTCTGTTTTCCGTTTTCAGTTTTCCTTTCCATTTCCATTGAAGGAAGAAACATAAGCTGAAAGGACTCCCCCACTGACCTAATGAGCCATTTAGCCAATTGGGGTTAATGTCCACACCCGCAAGAGCGATGAAGGAGGCGTGTTCCCGCCCACTAACTCCATTCAACCGAAGTCAACTTGCGCGCGTCTTCTTGATGAATTTTTGAAGAGGCTTCGTGCGAACTTTCAGCCAGGATAAATATATCAACCCGATTACCGACTCCGAACTTCCTCCTCTTGAATTCTCGTTTCCTTTATTTGCCGAATTCGCCTCTTCATTTTCATATTTTCCTTGTTTATGGGCAAACATTTTGGTCACGTGCCGAGGACGTGAGTATTTTTAGGCAACTTTTCGACGTGGTGTGGAAGTTTTCCCCAGAAGGAGGCGAAGGGGGAAAAGAGTGGAAAAGAGAGTGTCCTGAGGGCCTGGTTAAGTGCACCGTTCGATCGATTATGACTGCAGCAATCAATGACTATATCCTGCAGCTCTGTTGGTAAGCTCGGTACCATATTGTGGCAGCATCTCTGCTGTTGGGCGATTTACGATACCATCTGACATTTGTAAGCCGGCGTGGTGATGCGTGAGTTGCATCGGCAACTTCCCTTGCTCGTTTAATTCAGCTTAGTCCTTGTCGGACACAACACAATTTACCTCGACAGGATTCGGCATTCACTTCACAATTTGCAGGGGGCATGGGGAAATTGTTGCACAAGAGGGCAGTGGAGATGCACATGCAATCCGAACGCTTTTGAATTCAATTTGTCATCGGTATCGGTTGGAAAACACATTCGAGATCGCCAACCCACTCGATTTTCCCCACCTTGTCGGACAGCTCATGAAACTGTAATTGGAGGTTCCTGCAGTTGTTTCTGACAGTTCGAGAAGGACCCTTCATGGAAGCTTTTTCGTTAAACGGATGCCGCATTGAGTTGACAGATGTCCCCCATGTATTCAATATCCTCGAGATATCTCTGCACCATGGTGGCTCTTGGATTAATTATTACCCCGCAATATTGAACCAGTTCCCAATATCGCTTATCTGGGGCAACTGACAAATATTTATATTTGCTTTTGCCTGGCTTTCCACAGAAATGACCCGATTCCATATTAATATATATTGCCCCCATTCAGTTTTTATGCGCTTTCACTGTTTTTTGCACTCTTTCTGCCAACGGAAACTCATTGGTGTCTATTAGGCTGGTGAAAGCATTGTGATTTCATTATGAATTCCATCCTGTTGCCACCGCATTGCGCATTCATGGTGCTGCTTATCGGAGGATGTGGTTGTGGCAGGAGTTGCTCTTACCCCGAATTTCGAATATCCTGCAGCCTTTATCAGCCGCCTCATCCACATATTTTCCAATTCATTTCATCGCGAGTTGTGCGGAATCATCTGAAATTCAAATATCACTGCTAAAAAGCGTAACCATGTCTGAGTCCGCCTGTATCCTGTATCCTGCACCCTGAATCCTGCCTCCTGGTGTTATCCTTCATCCGTGTCATCATCCCCATTCGCTCCCCTTGTCCCCACTTTTCGATCGAATGCTAATAAAGTCGTCTGCCGTTGGCCGTCGGCGCCAACTTGCATAATTCAATTACATCCGATGCAGACTCATAAAACTAAATCAAAGGAAAACAAAGCGTCACCCTCCGTTTACTTAGGGCCAACTCCTCGGCGGGGGAGTGTCCAGGCAATCCCCAAAATCGGAGTGGAGACACATGCAAGCGGCTAAGAGCAATAAAAGCTTTCACCAAAGAAGTTTGATGTTCTGCTTGCCTTTCTCGGATGTTTTATGCTTATCCTCTTTGGCCAACGCCGTGGCATAAAACTAGATGGCTGTTGATGTCCAATGGCCGATGTGGTTGGCTCATCTCTCGCAGGATGTGCTGCTGGCCATGAAAGTTTCCTTTCAACTTCCGACACCCCGGAGGTGCAGTTTTGCATGGGAAGCGGCCAGCAATTTCCAGGACCGACTTTTCCGAGCCACTAAAACTTTGATTTCAGCTTGGCCTGGCCATAAGAATATCCTGACTGGCGGCGAATTGGTCTATAAAGCAGCAGCCTTTTACTATTCAATTTGTAAGGAATTTGAATTTAGAGTTGCATTCCTTTCCGTTTTATTGAAGCAACTTGCAACACTTTTTTTGGGTTGTCACCTTTCTAAAACAAGGTTGCATTGTGCCTCGGAAAGTTTTTGCTCTGTCATTGTCAGCTGTTGTTAAAGACGAGAAAGAGAAACTTAGAACTGGTCTAAGTTTTTATTAAATTCAAATTGCAGCTTTAGTTTGCAACTCTTTAAGTTGGCTAACAAGTTTTGCGTTAAGCTTAGAGTAAATCTTTGAAGCCTTGTGCGTTAAGTAGTTTAACTTTCATTCTTTGGTGAGGAAAAGATTAATCTTTAGGAATGCCTGACATTAAAGAGGAGAGCATGAATATGGGTTGGTATTCCTAGTCTTTATAAAAAAGCTTTATACTTTCTAATGTCGCTCTTTTGTAGAAAATACAGGAGATTCTAAAGTTATATTACCCACATTCAGTTTGACTCGACTAATTCACATTGAGCACAACTACAATCATGTCCTAATGGAAGAGATTCCAGGGCAGTTGCATTTAAAACGCACTTTAAGGCAGTTGGTTTTTGGTTTGCATGACAAATTAAATCCCGGAAAGCATTTACCTGTTGTGGAATTAGAGGAGCAAACTCGAAGGGCAGACTTGATCCAAAAACGATTGCGAAGATTTATGGCCAAGGACCGAAGATATATCGAATTTAGTCCAATGTCGCCATTCCAGGAGGTGATTGTAAAGGAACTGGCGGACGAAATGAGCTGCTCCACAAGGTTTTACACTGGTGAAGACGGCAGACGGTATTCTGTTGTCTATAAACCGGGAGATGGACCCAATTCGTATGAACTGAGAGCTCGCCAAGGAGATTTAAACTTAAGACGTGATATCTTGCGCTCGGCCCAAATAAGAAAAAAACGGGCTAAAGTTTCATCTGTTGGCCTGAAAACGGAGGTGGAAAACAGTCGCATTGACGAGTTTTCCGCATTGCGATTGGGTCACAAAATTCTAAAGGACTTTAATGCAAAAAGCCATCCAGTTCGAAAGAATATGCGATCTAAGCGAAAAGAAAAGGAGAACATTGGAGAAGATAAGAAGAAATGATCATTATTTTTTTTAGTAGTTACCAAAATTAAAATTTAAAACAAATTTTAGTGCAAAAGCTAAGTGGAAAGCTTTGTGAAGCAGCTGTGCTGCAGTTGCACTCCAGTATAAAAAATAATCATAATAAAATGGGATGTGTGCTCATTGGCTGCAGTATTGCCAGCTTAGAATATTTTAGGATATTTCTAGCATTTTAAAAAATAGAAAAGATTATAAACTTTAGCAAATTTGTAGCTATTGGCATAATAAATTTAACAATTTTTGAATGCTTAAAAACTTATTGCATGCGATTAAAATGTTTTACGGGACCACAAAAATCGAAATTGGTTATTTTTGCCGAAGATGACTAAACTTTTGCTAAAATAATCGCATAAACTGGTATCGATAAAATTTTTAGTTAACCAGTAACTTTGTCTTTGCGAACTCATAACAGTATTAACAGTTTAAGTGCTTTTTTTTTAGCCTGGCAACACTGACGGTTTAAATATTGCACAAGTTCTGCTCTTTTATTTACTGTTTAAACTGTACAATATTTTGCGATAATGTCTCTCCAGCTCCAAAATTGCTTCCTAGTTTTTCTATTCTTGTCGCCTTTTGCCGTCTGACCCGCAGACTGGGTTTCCAGAAGGCGCAACAATCTTCTTCTGACGGGATTACTTTCCTTCGGCAATTTGTTTTCCAGAACTTGGAGTTTATCCCAAGTTCCTGAGAGCCTCTCCCCTGCTGGTCACGTGCCCATTTTGTTTACATGCCGCATTAGGGGGATTCCATTCCGTTTAGTTTTCACTCGCTGTGTTTCGCTTTATTGCGATTTGATTCCACTTTGTGTTTGCCACACACTCTTTTTGTTATATGCACCCTCTGCCGCAGATCAACGAATATTTGTTCTTTCTGCAGCATTATTATCCCAATCCCTTTTTTCTTCGAATCTCCTGATGGGGTTGGTGTGAACTTTGGCACTCGCCTGCAGCTTTTTCTCCGGTTTATCCTTCTTGCTGCAACTATTTAGTGCTCTCCACTTCCATTTGTGTTGCTTCCTCTTCCAATCTTCCATTTTCCGAGCTGTTGTGGGTGCTTATTGTGCTCTATATCCGCCTTAGTACTGCCATTTGTTGCATAGGGGGTTGACTGGCTTAACCTTTCCCTTTTCCCTGTTTCCTTTAGCTTTTTCGAGCAAATTCCGCTCATTACTCGGGCAAAAAGCGTGTGGATAAACTTGTGAATGGATGGAGCTTGTCAAGGGGTTGTAGGCCAAATGGGGGAGTGGGTTGTGTTTGCTGCGCTGATAAGTGCACGTCTGGGGGATTAGCAGTCTCTTATCAGTCGGCATTCGTGTAGAAATCGCAGCTCTACCACAGTCAATTTGCCCGGTTTCACTTTAATAGCTGCCATCGAGTCACGTGCTCGAAAGCCTTTCAAATTTTATTACATTTTTCGGGATTTGCGAGCATGTCCAACTGTTTCGCTTCGATAACTTTTATTACCTTCGCTGACTGTCTGCCAAGTGTAATTGAATTCCGCCGCTGGGCGAAGTATTTACCCTTAAAATTTAACGGCTGGCAATTGCTTTGACCAAGTTGTGCAATTTGTCTGACTGTAAATTGAATCCATTACCGCCGCCTTTGTGTCCCGTTCGCAATTAGTGGCTCCAACTGGGACTGCAACTCGTTCCGCAGCTGATTCGGCCAGATTGGATTAGTGTCAGTTGCCAGTGCAATTTACGGTGAAAGGGAAGCAACAGTTGCAGGCGGACCGCATCCTGCAAAGGCAAAACGAAAAAGGATAATACTGCGCATGTGCCCACACAGGATTCCCCGAAAATCCACTCGGCTTCCACTGAATTCTGGCCCCGATGTTATGTAAACAAACGACAGTTGGACGACCGGCGGCAGACGAGATTGTGGCCTGTACGGATGTTTGGCTGTTCCGTATTCTTCGGAGAGGGGCTTGGCTTCCGGACCTTTGACAACATCCGTGTCGCCACCAGTTTCCCCATGTTAAACCTTAAAGCCAGGTTGAAATGCGACAGAGGTGTATGGGTCTAGGTGACCCTTTTATCATCAGACGCCGTGTCGTTTTCCCTCTTTAATGAAACACCTTTGATACGGAATCTCCGTGAAATGCCAACGGAGATTGCTCCCACATTACTTGTCAGCAGTTTCGAGTTGATTGCTAAAGGGTTTGCTCAGCACACTCGCCCATAATATGTATGTAGGAATATTTACTCCCCTGTTGGTGGAAACAAGGGACCTGAACAAATATTTGCACTCCATAATGCAATAGTTGTCCATTGAGGCGGAATCAGGTTTATCAGGAATGTTACATTCATTCCGAAAACAAGATAAGCTGTGCTTATGAAATTTTAGGAAAATAGTGGATTCTACTTAAATTAAGTTTTAGAGTAAACAGGTATAGTGTATTTGTTAAAATTTATGTAAATTATACGAAAGTTATTTGTTTGCTACGGTAGATTGTATTGATGCCTGCGGTTATTACAATACCGACAACTCAACGACAAATCACAAAATTTTTGGCGACCACAATTTTGGTAAAAGATTTTTGTGACTACGTATACAACATAAAATTTCAAAAACACAACCCCACTTTTACCCGTAAATTATTTTGCATTACAAGAAATATTTTCATTTGCTACTTAAGAATCCATTTCAGTATAACATGGTTTTTTCCGCTGTATTGAATTTGAATATATTTTGTTAAACGTTTTTATGAGCAGCAGCAGAATCACGTTCATCAGAGTTTAGAGGGTGGAATCGCTTTCAAAGTCTTTAACTTTAAAACAATTGCTCATACGCAGTGTAGTACACAATCCCTCGCCACATACACAAATTACCACAACCGCAGGTTTGCGTGCCCAACACTCATGTGAATATGCGCATTTCCGAATGTTTGTGTGTGTGTGTGTGTGTGAATACTCTGATTAGAGCCGCAATAAATTTGATGGGGAAAAACGAGGTCCTGTAAAGTTGTGCTGCGTCCGTTTGTGTTTACATAAAATCAAAAAGTTGACACTAATTGAAATATGCCCGGGATTAAGAGCCACTCAATAAATGCCAGCCAACGGACCCCTAAACGTTTCCCCCCTGCCAATGAAACCCCGCAGCCCCCGAAACTTTGTGCGGTTCAAGTTTCGCGACCACAAAACATAAGCCATAAAAGAATATTATGCAAATTTGATGTTCCGCTCGAACACTTTCCAGCGGAGACCTTCGCCCATTGCAGGGTCCGCATTTTCACTTAGTGGCTCGTTGATTGAATGGCCACTAAGTGCTTTCGGGCTGTAAGGAGCGGAAACAACAGGACCAAGAAGGACGAACAGCAAGCTGAGCACTTGAATTATGTCAGCAGCCCCTTAATGTATGCTATGATTTTTGTCTGCAAAACTCTGGCCCTTGGTTTTGACCCATATTTTTTTTTGTAGAGAAATGCCCGAAGATTAGTCAAGGTTATGTGTTGAAGTCTCAAAGATTTTGAGTGCAAGTAAAGCTGACTGTTTTTATCAGAACAACTACTGGAAAAACTTAACTTCGTTGGCCATAAATCAATGATTATGCCATAATAGAGGAGGCATGAACATCCACCCGCAGTTGCGATATAATCGGACACTCTTGTTGGGCCTGAAGTGTTCCCCATTAAATATTCATATCGCTTTCTGAATCGACACATCCCCAAATACGAATAGCCAACAACCCATATCAGCTGTAGGCCGAAAAGTTCCATTAGCTTTAATGCGCCGGCCCAATTCCCCGAGTTTATTAAATTCGCGTAAAATATTCCGCCGTGCACATTATAATGAACCTGTAATGCGAGCGGGTAATGGAAATGGTCCGAGCGAAAAACACCTGCCCACTGGCCAGACAAATTTTCAGCTATAAATTTTGATAGCTGATTAAAAATAACGAGCGACATTTGCTGTTGTTGTCCCAGTAAATGGAAAATGATTGCAAATGCTTTGTCCACTGGAATGAGGAGGAATGGATATTTCTGTTCTCCGGACTAATTTGTACAGACAATTAATTTTTGTTAGGTGCTCGCCGGTTTTTGTTCATTGGGGAGCAGCTTGTTCAACACAAATGTTGTTTGTCGAAAAAGATTCCTATCGAATGGAAAATTTATGGCTGGGATTGGCTGGAACAATATTAATAAATGTAATCGTTGATTTTTTAAGCACCCTCAAAGATTCAACAGACCATAAATAAACTTGTTATCCTACATCCTTTTTATACAACGCATTGGTATTTCTGCTTTCAACCTTTTTTTTTATCTGTTTATAAGTGGGCTGCAGTGGACTGAAATATGGTTTTCACTTACCTACAAAAAATTTATCGATGTTGCGCAGATAATCAAGGGATTCTTAAAGCATCTGAGAGCTTGATCAATTCTTAAATAATGTTCCCAGTTCCCAAAAGCTATACAGAATGCCATTTTGTTGGAGGAAATGATTTAGTCTAAATAAACATTAGTCCAGCCAGAGTTCATCAACCCTTGTGTAGTCTTTCCCCAAAAACTAAAGGCAAACAAAATAGAGTGCTGAGGTGGAATAAAGTATGAACTGGAATCGGGGCTGGCTCACGATTCAATTAGAAATGAAAGCCACTTTGTAATTGAAACAAGGAGGCCAGAGGGCAGTCCATCGATGTCCTTTTAATTGCAGGAGAATGGTAGGAGGTTCAAGTCGAGAGCCGACAATCTCAGCAGGGCAGGGTAAATATTGTTACAGCATGAAATTGTCCAAGGAAAAGCAGGGAAACGTGCCTCTCCAAGGACTCCCTAATGATGAATGGGCGGGGGAGTTGGGAAAAGGAGGCTGGGGGATAACAGATTATTATTCATTACTTCTCAGACTCCTTGGTAAGTCGGTTCTTCTTCGCTTTTGGTCTGCTCCTCGCAAGTAATTGAAAAGTTTCCCCACTCCACCTCATCCATTCAGGGCTCATCTTCTGCTCATCGCATCTCATCAGCTTCGTTCGGTTCCGGAGACAATGGAAAATGCTCAATTTGTCACTTCACGGAGGAGTTGGAGTTGGCGGAGGAGTTTCAGGACTTTTGGGGCGTGGCATTCTGACGGATGATGCGTGTGACTAAGCAGAAACCTCTCGGCGGAAACTTCATTTCCCACTGCAGCTCCCTTTCCTGATTATGATTGAGTTGATGTAGTTAATATGTTATCGAC